CAGTAATAGTATATTATGCAACAAGTGAGTTAAAAAGTTTATCGAACGTGTTGCATACTATACTTTTTCTACGACCGTTAGTTTTTGGGTACATTTTCGCAAAACAACACGAATACATTCACTGACATGACCGTCAGAATTGACAAACGTCAAAATTCAAAGTGTGGGAAATATTTCCGAAAACATCCGATTGCTCCCAAATCCGTGCGGTAAAATCTCGGAAATGTCCGAAGTGGTTCGAATTCGTGGGAAACGAATCTGACATGGTAAACTGACGCTTCCCGCACGCTAGATCGGTGGGTAATTAGGTATTTTACAGACGGCAGTACAAAAAATAGATTTTTGGCAATGACCACACGAAAATTCATGATAGTAACAATATTTATAGTTATAATTATTATCCTTTAATAAACGCGATTTAATTAAAGCTAACATGCGTTATTCAATTGAAGAAGAAGTAACCATTATTAAGTGTGATTATGAAATGATGCAAAAACCAAATACTGATTTTTAAAAACATATTTGTTTCGTTGATGAAGGTTCACACTCAAATCAACAACAATGTTTAAAACTGACCTTATTGAAGCAAACACTAAAATCCAATATTTTCAAAAAATAAATGTTATGGTGGGAATTTGGAGACTTCAAATTATTGGACCATTTTTTATAGAATATAACCTCACAAACCTACTTGGACTTATCAAAAAATCAAATTGAACCCGTACTAGAAGTAGTTTGCGAAGATCAGGAGATCTGGTACCAGTTGCATGGTTGTCCCGCCCACAATTCCCTTGTGGTTAGGGAGAATTTGGGAAAAACTTTTAACGGGAATATTATTGGCCCAAGGTGCCAAATCCTTTGACCACTTGAATAGTGTTATTTATAAAAATGTCAAATTTCAATGTTAACCAGTGACGAAATGTTAGCAAACGCTAACAAAGGCTTAGAATATGACAGGGTTTCCCAACATCAACTAAGCAACATTAGAATTGAATTTTGTGATCGCTTTATCTTCCTTTATCTTCCTTTCTAGCACTGTTTTTTTAAATATTGTCTTTAATAAAAAACTTGATGGTCAAATCTATAGTCGTTTCTTGAAGATTTCTTGTTGCTTGAACAATCCTTTAAATTAAATTCATTATTTGCTGGTCATATTTAATTCAATAACTGAAGATTAATTGATTTATTAACATTTCTTCAAACTCGACACATGATACCGGCTCCTTCAAAAAGTTCGAACACGGAAAAAATACGACATTTCCCACGTAAACATGCATGAGGAATTATTAAAGTAAATACTTATTATATTAAATCACCGCTAATAATAAATCAATGCTAATATTTATTTCTGCAGTCACAATTTTCGCACAATTGAATAATTGAACTGCGATGGGCTCTGAGAAAACCTCTAAACCTCGCGGTAGTGGGTTTTTGAAAAGCAAAGAAATTTTTAAATAATAGCAAATTTTTAAGTAACAAAAAAATTATGTTTCAATAATATATCTGTCAAATTATAATAATATAGTATGTGTCAACGAAATTACTATTATGAATTTGAATTATGAATAAATTTCAAATTTAGAGATGTTCTATAAATAAGGGATGGTTACATTTGTACATATAAAACAATTGAATACCATTTCCGGTTTTATTGGAATTATCCTGTATGTTTTCCGAGTTTTATATTCTATGGGTAAATCCATGTCGGAAATGTTTTTTTAATTTTTTAAACGGCGATCATTATTATTTTCTAAAGTTCTATTCTTTTTTTCGGATTTATGTGGCTTTACGAAGTTCAACGTGTACTTCCAGTAAAAGCGAAGGTTTTCTTATATTTATCACATGGTTATGTATAAAAAGTAGTCTCTGTCAATATTTTGTTTCAAATATATTTCTTGTTATTCAGATTGACTGGAAAAAATGAAATGTTAAAATTTTTGAACATTTTCTCGTAAATTATTAGAGCTATCGAAAAAAGATAAACATGTGATAATTATTTTTTTCCTTAGAATACAAAAATGGAGAAATACATATAAAAATTGAAAGCAAGAAAATTGATGTCACTTCCGGTTTTGCCGAAAACATTTCCGACTTAGAATACAAAAATAGAAAAACATAGATTAATTCCAGTAAAATCGGAGATGCTATTCAATGGTTTTATCTGACAGAATGTAGCGGTACTTTAAATATCATTTGTTCTATTAAAAAATATGATCTAAAATTTCGAGATACAGGGAGTCACAATTTTATTTGTAGATTTTTTTTTCTTGTGTATAAATTGTCGACTTCTTCACGGGACTGGGTACTTGGGGTTTTCTTAAAATTTGTCTTAATTTAGCTCTTACTTGTTGACTGCTATATGTCTGTTTTGCAAAAAAAAATTATTCCTCAATCATGTTTACATGGAAAATGTCCTTTTTTCAACATAAATTAATTTTTGTAATTTTTTGTTGTAGATATCGATCGCCAAAATTAATTTTCCTAGCAGTTGTTGTAGCTAAAACTACATTAAACCAGCAGATATCATCTTAAAACTTCACTTTCTGCTTCTTCGGCACTCATAACAACGCAAACAACAACAAATAGCAGATATCAACAAAATATAATTTTGTAGTTGGAACTTTACCAGTTACTAGCAGCTACTAGTCTTCTTTATACCCCTTGTAATAACAGAATTATCATCGCGAAGCTGCTGCTCGACTCAGAAATTGGGGTGCACGTTGGGTGATTGAAATAGGTGGTTCGTAAACCGATTTTCACTGGAATTTGGCAGAAATTAACTAGAAAGAAGTAGTGTTTGAATTAGAAGTTAATATTTCAAGTTGATGTCTGATGGAATGTTGATTGAAATAGACTTGAAAAATTTTCCCGTTCCAACCACAAGGTAAGGCTTTACGTTGATATCTACAGGTATGATGATATGTGGTGGAAAACTGATTTTGGATGAAATCTGATCGAAGCCGACAAGAAAAATCTAAGATTGAACACAGAAATGGAAGTTTTTGTTACAAGCAAAACTTTCTGTTCTCCCTAAAAATGAAAGTTGAAGTTGATATCTGCTGGTCTGTTAAAACTTTTGTTACAATAAGTGGCGGAAAAGCCGATTTTGACTTTCGTCTGATAAAAATCGACTAGAAAATGCTCCTGTTCGAACCACAAAGTAAGGCTTTACATTGATGTCACAGGTATGATGTAGTTTTTGGGTAAATAAGTGGTGCAAAAGCTGATTTTGACTGACATCTGATCGAAATCGACAACAAAATATAACTTTTGAGCCGCTAAATAGAGGTTTTAATATATCTACAGATATGATCAAGTTTTTGTTATAAGCGAAATCAACTAGAATATCTGATGTACCGTTAGTGTTTTGGTTACAATGAGGGCCGGAAAAATCGAGTTTGGCTAAAATTTAATTCAAATCTTCTAGAAAACGTGAAGAAGACAGTGATGTTACAAATTGCTTCGGGTTTACTCAAATTTTATCTGATCGAACTTGACAAGGAAAAGTTAGTTTTGGATTCAGAAAGAGAGGTTTTATTCTATTTGTAAGTTTGATATAGTTTTGGGTACAATTGAAATCAACTAAAAAAAAGTAGTGTTTGCGCCAGAAAGTAATTGATATGTGGTTCACCGTTGATGTTTTGGTTACAATGGCTACCGAAAAAGCTGATTTTTATTGCAATCTGACCGTAATCAATTAGAAAAAAGTATTTTTCGAATCAGAAAGTTCGATTTCAAGTTAATATCTGCAGGTACGAAGTAGTTTCCGTTTAATTAAGTTTAATTAAGAAAGGCTTTAACTGGACACCTGCAGGTATGATGTAGTTTTGTACTTATCTGTCTAATATTGACGTTTAGTAATACGAATATCGAGGTGACCGACATATTTATAGACTTGTTGATGGCAAGGCTTTAAAAGCTAGCCAGGTGGTTATATACTGAAAGGTTTCCTAGTCGTAGTGCTCTCAAAAAATTTTCAAAACATTTATTGAAGGCTTCATGAAACGGCAAAAAAACCAAGAACAACAACAGCAGAGCTTGAAGAGGTTGTCCTGAACATGATTGAAGAAGACCTATTAGAAAAATTGCTAAGGTTTTAAATGTAAATAATTGATTTGTTTGGCAAATTCTCAAGGGTCAATGCCTTTTGCACCAAATAGTTCAAATCCATCAACTACAGATGCTGATTTTGTTTACAGATGAAGCAATGCGATAAAAAAAATTTCATAATAACCATTTATGGTGTGATGAAAATCCAGATGCAATATTTGAAGATCACCTTCAACATCGTTGAATGTTTGGATTGGAATTGTGTATGACGGCCTAATTGGTTTTTACCAGGAAGATCGGATGAATGTGGAACAACTTTTTGGAACACGTGCTTTGCAATAACAAATACAATGTGCTTTATGCACGAAGTGGACGTTACTTATGGCCAGCACGACCCCCAGATTTAAACCCCCTGGATTTTTTGCTGTGGGGCCACCGAAAGCACTTGGTTTACTCCTGTGGAAAATGTAGAAGACCCAAGAAATCGAATTATTGCTAGGTCCAAGTCAATTAGAGACGATCTTGGTATTCCTGACAGAGTTCGCCAATTCATGAGGAAAATATTAGATTATTATATCTGAGCAGAAGGTGGTCACTTTTAATGGTTTTTGTTTTTTTTGCCTATTTTTAATTCAGTTGTTGTCACATATTATTTGACTGTTAAAAATGTTTCTGTAAATAATGTTTACTGTTACTCTTTAACTCGCAATCGAGGCACGATATGAGAAAAATTCAAGATATGAAAAAACAGTAGTTTAATTCGTTCTATTTATCTCAGGACAGTATCTTATAGTTAGTGGCGTAAAATTTCATCAATAAATGGATAACATTACCTCCCTCCCAACCCCAAACGCCACGGTTCAATTTTTATTTAGTAAAGAACAAATCGATCCTTTATCACTGGAAACAACGCTGACAAAAAAATCACATAAATGTTGAACTTAACTTACCTGAAACTATAGTTTAAGATGTCGGTCTTGACGTTATTTTTCAAAGTTACGGTTATATTCGGTAAATCCATCCAGTTACCATTCTCAGGGATGAGTTCAATTCGTTTCCTCATGATGCTGGATAATGGCGTGAACTGGTGACAAGTCACGACGTCGTCTCTTTTAACGTGTTGCCTGAGTAATCTAACGTAATGCGACAACGGTTGGCGGTTATCGTATTCCATTTCATACCGCTTTGCCTTGTCCTCTACAACGAGGCCTTTACAAATTTTACATACAATCCACCCACACACATATCGAATAATCCTAGAGTAATGTAATGTAATGATTTCGGATACCTTCAATTGGTATTTGGTGTTTCTTGTCTTTGCTTTTCGCATTGTCGTCTAAAACAGGCAGATCGGCTATAGCGTCCCTTACTGTCACATTTCTGTACGGAAGGGATCCCCTTGCACCGGTTGCAGTTTCACCTAAATCAGACAATATAAATAAAATAAGTAATAATAAATAAATGGGTCTTTTTTTATAACATCAACAAGGATCGATACAGCAACCGAATATCTCTCACACGCCTGGATCGGAAGACCATAATAAAATAACCAACTGAAACCAATTTCAAGAAGTAACACTTCACCACACAGTGGTTAAATGAGACAAAAGAAGCCCTGTCGCGGCAGAAGTACAGAAGGGACCATCTAAAGGAGGGACATCTCAGTTTTATTCACTACACAAAGTCATTTCACTGCAGCAGCAACATGGAATTGCTGACAATTCTTGAAAGGAAGGGTCTATACTCCCAAGACGCTCCTTTCACCTTAAAATATATGGAACATCAATAACAAAAGTCTTGACCACAGAAATCAGATTTTGCACCACATAATTTTATCAAGTAATACGTGCTTACCACACTTTTTTACGAAGGAGTGATCGTGTCTAGAATGAACTTGTTCTACATCGAATGAATAAGGAGCGATGACTCCTCGCCATAATATTAAAAAATAATGAGGCAGAGCAAGCACAAATTATATCAGCATATAATCGAGAGAAGACTGAGGACTGGACTCACATACCTTGTTGAGAAGGGACCGAAATAGAAAGCAATTTGCTATTATTGTTACCGATCGTCACTAATGGTGAAAATACTACTATTTGAGTTTCTATTCCCAAATGAGATTATCCGGTCTCTCAAAAGCTGCGTCTTTTTATGTTTGAGCAACACAGGTGCGTCGGGGTTTTCGTGGTGTCCATAGGGAATCTCGGACTGGCTTATTTGGAATAACTCGCGGATATCAATGTCAACCGCACTCCTGCGGATAACATAGCAACATAGGAAAAGGAAGCACGTCTGATATGGGTTCTAAATATTTTATAATATTTGCAACCCATATTAAGAAGAACAGAAATCGCCTACGCCTATGTGATATGTGTGTGACAAGAAAAATGTGGAGGAAATAGAACAAAAGAGTGAATGGAAGCGATACTATGCCCTGTAAATAAGAAAGGTATATAAGAAAGGTGTCAGAATTATAGAGGCATAGCACTTCTGAACGTGACCTATAAAATATTATTAAAAAAGCCACAAAAGCCACGTTCTGATTTGCATATATTGTTCGAATAAAAAAAAACTAACGCTAAGAAGAACACATAATATCTTAAGGATTAACAACTGAAGTACAAAGTACAAAGAAATTGTAGAAAGATTGCTATAACCACCAATGAAAAGGAAACTAAGTACATAAGCTGGACAGATGAGCAATATAAAAGAAACCAAAGCTGAAGTGAGACTGTACGAAACAATCATAGAACTCCTAATTACATATGGACACTAAACTCAGCTGAATAAAACAGATTAGCAGACTGAGAGAGTCAAGTATTACGTGCGATTTACAGCCCAAATAAAAAGCAGTTGCAAAAGCCCACCTGACAAGTAATATCCCCATGGACTTGCAGTTATACTGGACGAAACTCTACAAACATTTGTGAATTTCGGACTGGGAGAACGGTGAAAAGTGCCACCACATACCTTATAGCAGATGTAGACTCAAATCATAATCTTTTGGTGGCGAAGATTATAGTGAAGATGAGGATATAAATGGGAATATTAATAGCGTTTGGCACCTCAGGTAAGAGAAGAGGAAATATTTATCAAAATACGAGTTAACGGCAGTCCACCGAACAACTGTGCATCCTTTGCAGCGATTAAGAAGCTGCTCTGTAATGTCGATCTGAGTCTGGACCTGACAAGTCGGATGTAGTTGGGATCCTCAACATGTATGGCGAATAGAAACTAGAAGAATTTAAGATATGGGGTAACCGCAGGATGTTGAGGATATCATTTACAGAAGACGTGACCAAAAAAAAAGATCTTTCGGAAAAAGAAGAATATCCTGCGTCATTAACCTGCTTGGTGTAATGTCTCGTCACCTAACCTATGCACGGTTGCAGATGCCACAATTAAAATAGCAATGATACTACCCTACTTCCTAACCGGAGTGGCAGATGAGGAGGACAAAGTTACTTACCAGTGTCATACACTTTGTTGTCAACTTTGAAGTTCAAACGCGATTTATTAATAAAGCAGTGCGTAGGTTCCGGTAAATTTGGTAGTTTTAAGAATGGCGCTGCACCAACAATGAAAAATCTTCGCCGTTTCTGAGGCAGTCCATAGTTTCCGGCGTCAAGAATACCGAATGCTATTTGGTAACCGATCCTCAAAGCGCATTTTATCGTCAGTTTCAGGTGCAGGCTATCTTCGAATTTTACAAAATTTTCCACGTTTTCGAAGATAAAATAATCAGGCCTAAAATCATTCAAAACACATGCAGGGTAATGAATAGGTACAAACATATTAAGCGATATCAAAGAAACCTTAGAATACAAATGAGGAATCTCAGTGAATCAGAAGTGCACCAAAACCTCCCACAAAATATACCTTGACATCATAAACGCAAACAACGAAAACGTCGATGAACAATGGAAATCATTAAAGCAATGAAGAAACGAAGACAGTTTATGAACAAGTAAATGAAACAGAACAAATATAAGAGAGGGCAAGGAAATATAGTTCACAGAAAAATGCAAAGAAATCGGAGGCGTTCAACACCGATACGACTTGTTCAATCTGCACAAAAGTGTCAAATAAATGGACAGGATATGCTGGACTTACTACCTATTAACCTACTGAAAATAATAGACACATAATACTTAGGCTGGTTAGTGAAACTCTATAATCAAATTCACAAGTCACAAATTACGCCTAAGGAATGGTGAGATCTTAAATTTCCTGGTGAATGAGGAATGTCAGAGAATGCATCGAGCACGGCACTATTAGTTTAATATTTCATATCCTTAACCTGCTCCTAATGATCATCCAGAACCGCATATATCAAAAACTGGATTTGAAGGTGAAGTGGTCAGTTCTAGCTACTCTGTATAAGATGAGCAATATGAGCAATGAGCCATATAATGTACCCTACTGCTTCAAAACGTATGGGCGATTGGTCAATTAACGGCACGGCACCATAAGTTTAATTTTGTTCGTAATGTCTGTGCTGTTAACTACCCATTATATATTTTTTTGTCATTGAGTAACCTTATCTGGACTCACTCAACTTAGAGGATTCCAATTAATCGAATATGCAAAAATGGCAGATGCTTAAAGCTTGAATCTTTTTCAAAGAACCTTTTTCTACAACTTTATGGCACCTTCATCTACCACCACCAATCTTGTAGATGCAGATAGTACCTTTAATATAAGCGACTCGGACAAATAAAATATGTATACAATAAAAGATGTATGCAAATAACAGCAAAATAGAAGAGGTTGTGAGGGAAAGTGCAGTTGGGCTTTCGGGCAGAAGAAGAGCTCTTCTCAATTCACATTTTGACATCAATAGTTGTACTTTATTGACTTTTAAAAAGCGTTTGATAAAGTGGGACATAATAAAATGATTCTGATTCTTGATCTAGACGATAGAGACAAGATCAATAAAAATTTCTACTGGCATCAAATATGAAGACTGAAGGTAATATATTGAGAGCAGTAGAAATTTATCATGGCATAAGATCAGGATGCATCTTGTCCTCAATCGTTTTTAACCTTCACTCCAAACATGTTCTTAAAGAAGCTTCAGTGAGTTGAAAAAGAAACTGATCTAGGACTAGGCCTTAAGCGACATGGATCGTGTTGAAAAATCTTGTTTGTAGCCATAATATTAATCTAAAACCTGGGCTCATAAAATGTTACGTACTCTCGACACTGCTATATGGAGTCGAGAGCTGGACCCTTAGGCCGCTTTCACATACACCGCTAAAGCCGATGCTGATACTGGCTCCGGTACATATTTCAGACGTTCCGTTCACACAAAATAATTTTAGTAGATATATTTACGTCCTAAAAGAAAAACGTGCGTTTTCAACAAAATATATATTTTTGAGTTGTACCTAAGAAGTAAATGTCACAAGAGAAAACTCCAAAAATATTTTTGGTTACATCCCTTGTTTACTGTCAGATACTTAGAATGCAGTTTTTACACCCTTTTTGAGAAAGTAACCAATCATTTTCGTAGGAGCATATCTATCTACTTTCGACTCTTTAATGGAAACACTCAATGACAGTATAAAGCATCAAAATACTCTAATAAGACCATGAAATTATTGCATTAACAATAAGTAAGTAAATAAAAATATTTGTTATTTCACGTTTATTAGTACATAAACTCATACATAGTCTCGATTATAGTCGAATGAAGTGTTGTTAATTGTTTTGTTGATTATATTGATATAAAGTTGAATGCGGGCTATTAACACTCTTAGTACCATTATGTAAGAAGGAGTGGTGTGAAAAAGATGTCAAAGAACGAGAAGATGATGAGGAACTTGGTCTAGGATCGCATATAATAAATGTTGATGGTTGACCAAGTTTTCGTGTGTTGATATTTTGTTATAATTACAACACACTCATTCGTACCATAGGGATAATAGATATAAAAAATGCTTCTTCCTCGTCTGGTGGATGTTCTAGGGGTTGTAAGACCTCTTTTAGGGGACTTCTGTGTTTCTTTGCCTCTTGCTGTGTCATTGTCATGGGAATGCACTTGTCTGGCATGGGATTGCACTTGTATTTTATCAGTAACTGCATCTTCTTCTAATTCATTTTTTTTAACCTGTGATTATTGAACATTTTCAACAAGAATGTTCACAAACACAAAACAATTTTTAGAAAATTATTAATAGAAAATCGTAACTCACACCATAAATATTTCCTATTTTGTTCTATGTGTCTGGCTTCTGGGGCAACCTTTACAGACCTTTGAATGCACAAAGATTAGAAATGTATGTAAGTAAAAAAAAATACCTAAATGTAATCAACCTACGAGGACTGCTGCTGCGTTGAGGGACAACTACTTTACGACCGAGGGAACAGTACCATGGCATATGAATAAAATATAACACTCTATTTTTTTGGAGTATTACCACAATAATAAACACTTATCTTAAATATTTTGGATGATCTTTTTTATTCTTCTCTAAAAAGGCATACACTTCCCTATAAGTTTTTCCTTTTTCAACGTTATGTTTAAATGTATCGGCTGTTTTGTCCGACAAACATATTTTACTTTCAATAAGTTCAATTAAAGGAATAACGGATTACAGAATTTTTTCCTCATATTTTTTTAAAGTATACTCAACTGTGTCGAATCTATAATTTGAAACCACTGACCTACGCAGTAGCGCATTTGACCGACCCGCTTCTGCTGCCGAACAGGCAAATTTGACGGTTCGGAATTCGGGTGAAAGAATCAATTTAATTGTATTGGAACCGGCGGCGGTGCTGGTACCGGCATCGTCTTTAGCGGCGTGTGTGAAAGCGGCCTTACATATAAGTTATTCGAGATGTGGGTGTGTCGTAGAAGAACACTGTATTTGTGTAAGGTTTTTTATAGTTTGTAAATATTATGTCATTGACTTGACTTCTTAGAAAAAGTATCTGAGAATGGGTTAATAAAATGCACACGCAGATAGTGTATCTACCTGTAATAGTCCACAAATCCCAGGAAGTTAAGAACCTGCGAATTGTTTTTCTTTGCCGGCGCTTTTTGATTATGCCTGTTCATTTTGGAGTATCCTTGACACGGAGGTCCTCCAACGATTATGTCCACTTCTCCTTTCTCCGGCATGCCGACAGTGTCCAATTTTAACAACAAATTCGAAAGTATTTTATTGCAATCCCCTTTTATCACAGTGGCGGTAGGGTTGTTCAATCGGAAAGATTTCGATGCTGATTTGTCTTTCTCGATCTAAAAGTAATACAAGTTTAAATATTACAAAAACATGATATAATACCTTCTCTTTCCGTAACACTATGATACAGAGGTGTAGAGATTACACCTTATAGTCAGATTTTTGTAAAAGATGTGGCAGAACTGCTAAAGGATAGGCGCGAAAACATTCGACTGGCACAATTAACACATTTTCAAAGACATTCTTACAGACGGATCCTTTAAAAAGATCCTACGTTATATGTAGAATGAACTTCAAATCTGCTATTAGGAAGAATAGAATAATAGAATTCGTGTAAAAATCTGTGATCCCCAACTACTCTAAAATGTCTCGTTTCAAAAAACTCCCAAATATTCACATCATTGGTTCTCCAACATATTCTCCAGTAAAATATATCTAACTTCTATATTAAAACTGTTTAAAAGGAAAACTTATATTTTCGTACTTCATTCAACAATTATCCATTAGATCGATATTTTGGTCAGTTTCAATGCGGAGTTCCTAATCCTGAAACTCTCAATATTATTTCAGATACATTAAAAATCTTAGAATCGGGAATCATATCTTCTCATATTAATTGAAAAGTATCACGATTATCACCACCACGCAAATCTATTTATCGCAGTTTTAGAAAAGAACTCCGTCCGACACCTTCTATCCAACGCCAAAAATACGGACGCTACGTTGACTATTGAATTGGAAACTACCATTCTAGAAAATCACATTTGGTCGTTTAGTATACAGAAAACCTACGAATAGAGATCTAATGCACATCACTATGAGACCCAAATTATCTAATTAAAAAACAACCAAAAAATCTTTAATGCGCGGCAAGTCTTTACCTTTCGTCAATTTGGGAATCAGTCATCCAAGGCAATGTTCAAGTCCCTCCTTTGGCTCTGTCCCTTTTAAACAGCAGGCACAAAGTAGAATGAAAACCAGTTTTAGTTAAGCTTTGAAGAAGCCAACAGGACAATTTGCGACAGGTCAGTACGATAGATTCATCAACAACCGCAGCAGGAGAATCCCAGATGATTTTCCATATAAGATGTTAATAACATTGTCTTCCGTTGTTGTAAACCTTGCTGGCTAGGCCTTCTAATTCTATGTTCCATCATGCTGTGCCAATATCAGTTGGATACTTTAGATAGATTTGTCTTAGATTTTGGCTTAGTATGCCGAAACATTGTGGTTCCCCTGGATCAAGCGCTCCGATTTAGATGAAACATATACATAGGCCAAGTTTGACTTCACGCCTCTCATATTCCTGCATGTAGGGGTTTCACTCAAACCCAGTCTGAATTCGTTTGTTAAATAAACATTAATCAGGTATTGTTTGGCTGTTGTTTCGTTTGGAGCGCTTTTTAAAAGGCAGAACAATGATGGTGCACATTGTAATTATTTATGTATCTCAGAAAGAAGAAGAACAGAATGCGAAGCACGCCGCGGAACGTTAAAAACCCCACCCAATTCTTCCAAGCAATGAGAAACTGTTAGATATATTAGCCATACATAACAATTTTTAGGTTTCCGTATCCCTTTAATATAAACTGAATCCAAATATAAAATAGATTGATTTGACTAAGATTTTCTTGTGCCGAACCCTGATCACATTTTTTCACCAAATTCCACAGTTCTTTCTCAGTTCCAACCTTCGCAGAACATCTTCATCTATATAAAGATTTTGCTTTCATTTACCTTGTTTCTGTACTAAATAGCAGGATCGGTCATGTATATGCCTTTATAACTCGAATTCATAGATAGAAAATCACTTCTCTCTGTATCAGATATTTGCTGAACTTAGCACTTGTTCTTGTCACAGTTGCTTTAGATGGTGCAAGGCATTTGAAAATATCTACCTTTTCGGTAAATTTACAATCCAAAAGAAGGTTCCCTTGAACATAATGTTGTCTGCCAACAATCATTAATTGCGTGTTGCTGCTATTTGTAACTATGCTCTCAGCCATTGTCGCGTTGTTCTCTGCATACCGTAAGTTGTTGATTGATTTACCGTTTACCTTTACTCCTTGGTTTACGTTTTCCAACGCTATTTAGAATACGTGTTCAGTAAGATCAGAGAGAGGATACACCTGTAACAATTTTATCTTCTGCGGCCATTCTTGATCCGAAGCTACGCTGTCTGATTTCAGTAAGGAGTTTGCTAATGTCGATGTTCCATAGAACTTGGTCGCGACTGTCGTTATGAAAAGCTATTTGATAATCTACAAAACAGATAATGACACCTTTGGTAGTAACATTTTTGCATTAGTAGCTGACTGTCTAATACTAATTCGAATCTTGAAACGAAACTGCGCTAGTCTCCTCGCATTTTCAATATATTCATCGATAAATACATAATTTTGAGGAAAACTCTGGAATGGCAATAAACCAATGTTTATGCCTCAGATCAATGTCTGCGGCAGTCGAGGGGGATGCCTCCGCCATAGAAGTTGTTGAAAACTTGAATGTTTACTGTTGTACCATTCCACTATTTAGGTAATGTTCGGTCCACCTTTGATAGAAATGTTGAGGGGCCGGTTACGCTTTATTCACTTATGTTGTGTTCAGAATCAGGTTGTCATTAAATAGATTTTCTATACAGGGTGACGTATGTCAACAAGAAATTGTGTTTTTCAAAGAAACTTTCACAGGCTACTGTAATACTATTTAATATACTAAACTATTTCTAGAAGTTTCGTAAATATTCTTAATTTGAAATATACAGGTTGTGTCGTGTAGTCGTGGTTTGTAATTCTAAGAGTTACACGCTATATGTTATTGCATTTTTGGATCCTAAATAAAAATCTGATTGGGTAACGGAACGAACAATTAGTGAGATATTTGATATTTTCTGTAAAAAATGTCGGACGCAGTACTTTGTTTGAAATGAATGTGATCAATATCGGTAAACAATTTAGAAGTAACATTTATAAAAGAATAACTTTGACCATGGACCTGTCTATAGCCATCCTTGACCACTTACTTTTTGACAAAATTTGAACCCCCTGTAATTAGTGTAGATGCTAGAATAATTGATATGCAACATCATTAAAAAAAATTACATACATACCTGTGAAAAATTGAATACAATTTTTGATACTAAATTCGTATAGCCAAATTTAATGGTAAATTATCTAGATCTCCGATACCTACGTTTGCAAGATTTCCATTTATTTAGATTCATTCAAATTGTTCTCAAATAAAAATTGTTCAGAATTTAATTCAAAATAATAAATGCAAAAACATACAGGGTGGTTCATAAAATAACAAACATGATATTGACCACGCTTACATGGCGCACCCTGTAGGCATCAAAATATTTTTATATATAATCATAACAAAATTCCGAATATTAAAATACGTCTAATAGGCCCTCCATCTGAATCACCCTATGTATGTTTCTCATGTATTGGAGACTGGAGACCAGTAATTATTTTATAGTTATTATTGTAAACTTCCTTTTCCCTCAATTTTTAATTGAAGTGGGGTGTGTCGCGTAACTGCGTTTTTAGCTTTTTTATTTTGTGACGTATTTTGGATTGTCATTTCTAATCTCCGCTTGTGTTCTTTCTTCCATTATGTCGAGAATATCTACTGTCATCCACGGTCTTTTTCGTCTTTTTGAAGAAGATGCTCATCGCAAATTTTAAAAAAGTTATCAAAGTCACAATTTAATAGCTAATAACAGAAAAATTCATGAATTGCGAGGTATAAAATGGAATCTTGATTTAAAAGTGTTATCACAAACTGGTTTGAAGTTAAAAGTAAAAAAATAACAATAATGAAATTTTTATATAGGTACTTAATTATTTCATTATTAATTAACCGTTAAATTTAACCAGAGGTACACCACACGCAAAAGCACTGGGACTTTTAAAAAAGTTCGAATAGAGATGTAAAAATTACATTTTTATGGGAGATCTTTGTTTTTTACTGTAACAATTGAAAATGTCAGGAAATCATTGCGGAAAATATCCGATAAGCTTCTAGTGAAAATGATGACAGTGATGAAATCTTTGAAGATGCAGATGAATCGCAAGAATATGTGGCTACGGAGGGGGCCGGGATCAAAGTGGTGGACGAGTGAAAGTTCCACAAAAGTAAAATGATGACGTACTGGTTACTTATCATGAAGTAATAGAAAGTTTGAAGATAAATGGAATGCAAGCAATAAATTATGAAGAGAAAGTAACGGCACTTGGGCAGTGGTTGATCGAAAATAAAACAGAAGAAAAAAATGCTTCCAAAATTTTAAAATATTTTGAAATTATGGAAAAAATTGATTTTCGTTTGCTCCATTTTAGCTCTTGAAACAATACTTCAAAAATTTTAACTTAGTCGTAAAAGTCTAACAAAGACCTCCAAAAAGAGTCACTGCACTTAAATTGGTATCTAATTAAAGCTCAAGCAATTTGCAAACAAAATTGACGCGTTTCAGCGATTTTTATTTGTTTTTATACTTTTAGAGAAAATCAAGGAGGAACCTTTTCTAATTTACATCCAAAATGCTTTAGACATAAATTTCCAATTATTTCACTTACGGCCCATTTTGTAACAACTAAACCCGACTTTTCCAATCCGTTGGAGAGCCCTCCACAGCCGGCGTATATATCCATGGATCTCAATTTACGATTTAATTTCGGCCATACCAGAATTTCTTCATTTTGAGTATCTTTGGATTCTCCACCTACAAATGAATGACAACATATTCGTCAACTCTGTTAATTGAATATTGTCACTATAAGATAATATACAGTTTTTCCAAGGTAAGGATGTCTATTATGCGGATATTGAAAAACATAAGAAATACGAAGGTGGCTAAGAGAGAGAACATAGCCACGTTCATCATCAGTATGTTTGAGATTTAAAAGAGCATAATAACAGCTGTTTACTTTCTTACCAACTGTCTCAACGTGATCAACCCAGCTTAAATTGCTATTTAGAATGACTCCCAAAAACTTCCCAGTATTTTCGGGTAATAAAACTTGTTGCTAATGTATTGCTGAAAGGCCTATAAAAATAGATACTTATTATTGGACTTATTCAACATCAACCTAATTCTAAAGCAATAATCTTTAAATTCTCCATCGACCTCGACAATGCCTATACAATGATAGATGTATCATCAGCAAATAAGAACGCCTAACCAGTAGACACATGCAACGGCAAATCATTTATAAACATGAGATATAGAGTGGATCGAAAGCAATACCCGTGGATTTTTTGTTAGGCAATTCGCAAATTTCTTTTCAATTTCTTCATTACCAACGGGGAAAATGTAGAACGTTTCCTCAACAATTCTCTCTATAGTGCAGGAATCCATCAAAATGTGTATTCAACCGACTACTATCCAGTGGCACCCCAGTGCCCTATTTATCAACAACCATGAACAAAGATAAACTAACTAACCAATTATTGGAAAGCAGTGTGCAGAATTGAATTTTGTTGAAAACAAAAATTGGGTGAGAAGTCCCTAACCACTAAATTCTGGAAAATGAACAAAAATAAACGACTATTCACTATGGAACCTTCTGGAAACCAAATACGGTTTTAACAGTTGAGAGAAAAAAAAAGATCAGCAAAGTAACACAAAAGGCGTACCTAAACCACCGCCTTGTATAAAGTGACACATCAGCGAGTTGTTTAAAACAATTGCAAATATAAGTATAGGTATGCAGTAAAAACTAGCAGCCACGAAACAATAAAAATACATGTTTTTGATCCCTAACATTTAAAAACCTTCTTCTAAGAACTTGATGCAGATTACAATTTCAGTACTGTGTCTCTTATCACGCATGCCAGCAACGTAATGTTACAAATTATCAACGATAGGCTGAGAACCTTCTTACAAACGGAAGTGCTAGAGGAGCAGGGTGGATTGTAAATTTGCTTTATGGACTATTGGAAGGCGTTCTGCAAGATCAAACGGCACCACTTATCGTGAATATTAAAAGAAGCGGGCATACCACGACACCTCATTACCCCTATAACTGAGCTATACAACCATACCACAGGATCTCAATCTCAAATCAGCATGTCTTATATTAACATTGTCCTGAATGAAAAAATTAGTATATAAACTAGAAAAACTCGTCTAATAAAATATGAACCATCTAATTCCAAAAATATAGTCTCACAATGCACTAGCTGTTAGGATTATAGTCATACTAAGATGAATTGTCGAAAAACTTCAACTACTTCAACTGCAATGGAGATCACCAGGCTAACTATAGAGTATGCTTAGTACACAAGCAACTACAACAAAAGCTATATCCTGTCTTACGAGAAAAAAGAAGCTTGAAACAAGCCCAAGCTCAAAGTACAAATCACAAATCAGCTCGCCTACAATATGACTATGCTTGAGGGTATGCAAATGCAATCTGGAATGACAATGACCTTCAGCAACATGTTAGAGAGGTAAAAACCTATTTATTTGAATAAAACATCGACATTCTGATGATTTCACATATTTCATAAACATAAATTGTACCATAGAAAACACCCAGGCAATAGAGCACGCAGAGGAACTGCTTTAATTATACTATCAAATGCTACGGCAAAAATGCGCCAGATACTATTTGCAAGTCACCAGAGTAACTATCCAATAACTAACCAACCAATAACTATTTCGAAGTTTGCTGCCCACCTAAGCACAACAACAAAAAGGAAGACTTCCAGAAATTCTTCAACACCGTAGGCAATAAATTTGTTGTCGTACGGGAGGGGACAAGACTGACAACTTAAAAAGCAAGAAAACTAGTCAAACTAACCAACCTGGTATAAGGCACAACAATAGGACCGATTAAACACTATTAGGAGAAAAATTAGACAGCATCATTTCAATAAATCTACATTCAAAGACAGAACAGAAAACAGGACAGGAGTAAAGTAAAAGTTAAAAATGATACAGAACTGGAGAAAAGAAGAAAAAACTTAACAATGCAACCAATTAGCTAAAATACTTAATTCAAGAACAAAACCAAGGAATTGAGGAATACCTAACTCCAACTGAGACAACAAATAGTTTACTCTGGCAATCCACCAATTAAAAATGACACTAAGTATCCTAAAAACGAGAAAGAAAAAACACATGTTTTCTCTAAACACCTACAATACGTACGTAAACCATTTCTCTCAGAATTATCATGTGAAGAAGACGTGCCTTTTCACATGGAACAGCCTCATAAGAAATTTATTGTGAAACAAGTTAAACAAACAATAATAAAAGAAATTAATATAAAAAAAGAACCAGGATTTGATAAAAAACCCCAGACCTTGAGAAGATATATTTTAAAAGTCTCAACATAATACTACGGTAAAACTTGTTAAAAACTTGGCATATTAAATATAACGAGACTAAGTTTACTCATGTAACATTCACACTACGCAGAAGAACATGTTCTCCTGTGAAGAAAAATGGATAAATCATATATTTAATAAACGTGAACAGGACTTAAAATAAGAAATATACATTGACTCTTTCGCCCAAAATCCAAACTATCCTTGGATAATACGGTATTGCTATATAAGACCATTCTTAAGCCCATGTTGTCAACGAAGTGATCCAACACGACTTCCTTCTGAAATCCGTCAAGGAAATGGATCATCGCTTGAGTGCAAACTACAATAAAAGGGCGCTAGAAAACCAATCATATGTGCGCAATGTCAATGAAATGCGCAAATTACAGAGAACTTAGAGAACTCAGATAAGTTTAGACAATTCTACGTTTAAGATTCAGATTACTCACTGGAGTGATACGCTACATGTCATTATTAAATCTATTCACGACAAATGCTCATTGCTATAGCGAAGATTGCAGACCCTACTAGCAATTATACACCACAATAGAAGATTAAACCTGTCGGTTAGTCAATTAGATTTATTTTATTGAACTTAAATTCCCACAACAACATTAATTAAGGTTTTATGGTCATTTTTCGGTATATATAGTAGAAGGTAGTTTGTAAATATTACATTTGATAAAGACACGGTGTCGAAACAATTTTCATGTGAAAATATATAATTTCGTGAAAATCTGAACTTATTTATTTATTTTGTTTCCAATATCCCCACGATAGACATCCTTATATTGGACACAGTGTATAATATTTTATAAAAACCTATATGGGGGAGGGTTAAAAATTTACCTGGTTTCTTATCCTCAATGGGCAACTCTAACACTATATTTTTCTTGTGATCATAAAATTTTTCAAAATAAAACCTGTACGGACCTTCTTTAATCCATTCATCGCAGTTTGGAAGGAGTGTTTTTTTTGCGACAAAGCACTTTCCTTTTGCCACATCCTTCCATTGGCTCCACCCCTCTATAATAAAATTCGTCAAATATAAAATGTTTATTTATTATCTATGGATTCATTTTGAAAATAATTAGAGATGCTTACAAGTACTTAAAGTAAGATTGGTGAAATATTAGCAAATGCATATTTATTTACTTATTTATGCTAAAAGCTGAAACTATTTCACAAATGGAAAATACTTATTTAAAGCAAATTTCGTCAAATATTATTTAATGTTTATTTATTATTAACAGTGACACTATTTCACTAAAGTACTCATTTAGAAAAAAGAGATACTTACAAGTACGTAAAAGTGCTTAAAGCAACTTTTTGTCAAATATTAGCATTATTATTAAAGGTAAAACGATTTCACAAAGAGATTCAATTAGAAAATAATTATTGATACTTAAAATTACTTAGGAGTACTAAAAATAAGTTTCCTTGAATCCTATGATTTATTTATTTATTTATTTAGTTATGTATACCGGTGACACTATTTCATAAAGGGATTCCTTTAAAATGTACACTTACATACAATATACACTTACAAATACTTAAAATTACTTAAAATAAATTTCGTCAAATATTATGAAATCTTTATTTATTTATTATTAATGGTGACACTGTTTCACAAAAGGATTCGTAATATATAACATTGTTATCCTATTTACTAGAAAGTAACCTGTTTCAAGTAAACAGCTCCTTCTACAAGAAAACACAAAGATGATGGATATGGAAAACCATGATGATGTAGCAAAAAAATGATTGAGATTATTTCATATTGGACACAAAACACATATTTAAAGATGTCAGATTACTGCAACAAGTCACTATCAAATCAGAGCCACTATAGAAATTAAAACGCAAATTTAAGGACACAAAATGATCAAAAAGAAAAAAAATAGTCACTAAACCGACTCGAATTTAAGCACATACAGAACGCATCACAGAAAATTACGACAACCTCCGATCTAAACGGACTAGAAGACAGGATGACATATGCACAGAATAAATTGTGCCCAAAAACGAAAAAAAAACAGTCCGCAAATAAAATAAAAATTGGAAAAATGAAGAGCACTTAGAAGAATAGAGAGTACAAACCAGCAAAAAATAAAGGAGCTAAACTAAGAAATATCAAAAGCCATCACAAGAAAGAGAAAACCTTACAAGCAATGGAAAGAAATAGGAGCATGACAGTGACTAGAAGAGAATTTGCGATACAGGAGAGATCGGACAGAAAAAAAAATACAATCGAAAAGTTATACTAAGCACAATATAAGGCTCAGGATAATGTAGAAGAGGAAATCAGAATTGAAAAATTGAAACAAGCTCCCAAAAATATGCAGCAGAAGACGAAATATCTATAAACTCAACTATATTAAACAAGAATTCCACCAGCCCAGGCAACATTTTCATAAAGCTTTCGATAAAGTTGAATTACCTGTTATTTTGAAAGCCCTGAAGAGGGTTTGAGTCATCTCTGCGTTGCAGATGAAGTCTTAATAGCGGAAAATTTCTTACATATAAGAGACGTGGTTATATATAAACTATCTGACGACCAAAATGATGACAAATATGTGTTTAGTTTTGTGTGGTATACAACCCAACATATTCGGTGAGTTCCCTGCGACGACCAGAAGGGAGAGACAGAAGCAGAATGTAGACCATGTTCTTCTCAATTTTGTAAGTATTGTCCAAACCGAACAACAATATGAACAACAAATACAAGTGGTACAAATGTACTTAGGCCATGGCTCACTAGAGAAATATTTTCATTGGCTAACAGTAGCTAACACTCACAAAAGCCTAAATAATCAAACGTTGAAGAAAAATTAATAGATCAATGCTGGAATTCAATCTCAGAAGAAGATTATAAACGAAGAAATTTGTCATAGAACAAAAGTGGAAGATATAACAGAATACATCACAAGAGCAAAATGGAAATAGGAGGTATTTATTGCGAGATTACAGGACTACAGATGGACAAAGAGTGAAGATCTCGAATAGATAAAAAATGTATAAGCAGATCTACGAGATAGACCGCCGATCTTAAGAGAATAAGAAAAAATTGAATGCAGACAGCATAGAATAGGAGGCCTATATTCGATGATGGACATGGATGATAATGAATGTTGGTTCAAATTTAAAATTACTGGATCTGTCCGACACAATGCCCAATACAAAAAAAAGAACCAGGTATTTTTAACGGACGATATTCTGACCTTATCGATGAAGCAGAGAATATAAAATTCATAATCGCGATCGATACAGAGCCATCCATAATTTCCAAATAAGCGTAAAATCGCAAAGGAAGGGTACTACCAATCTACACAAAAAAAAACACTGGGAACGAATAGAAAATCTCCAAATGACATTTTAACCAGAGATCAGAGACAATACCAACTTAGTATCAAATACAAAGAAAAAACTTCAATTGGTCCAAATATCTTAATAGCGGAAATCGTACAAGTCATACGTCAGTCAGAGAACAGTAAAGCTGCATTCCTTGACTAAATCTAAGTTGATATTCTCAAACTAGCAAAGGATAGACTCGGCAGGGTGCTCACTGATTTGTTCAACACCATATGTGTCGGAAAGAATGCTACAGTACTAGTCCACTTTTGTGGCGCTACCAAAAAAAGCTAATGCCAAACGCCTAACGGTTATTTACAACAGGATATACCAAAAGTGTGAAGAAGCTTCTCAGACTTCTTGGAACAAGAAATGCTCTCGTTAGCATTTAGTCCAAAGATCCAAAGTGTATGTGTTTTATAGACTATGAAAAGGATTTTGATAAGGTACAACATCCTAAAATGATACAAAACCTTCTGTTTAGTTTTGTGCAACCCAACATATTCGATGATTTCCCTGCGCCGGCCGCGAGGGGGAGGGAGAAGGATGTCGGCGGTGAACGAATAGAGACCATGTTTTGTTTTGTCGAGTCTTGTTAGTATTGCTATCTAAATTGCTATCTAATCGGCAGTAAAAGGAATAAAGTTTTTTATGTAGTGATAACGTTAGTGTTTTTGAACCAACGAAAATACAGTCCACCAATTTCAAACGCCTTCAAAACACAAAGGAACGACATAGCCACTATGTAATTCCAAAACGTCAAACCACAGGAAAACATTCACGCGTTCACCTTCAAAAATACCACATACGTGTTTTACTTAGAATATGTTTTGTTTCATCTTATAGTTGTCATCCTTTTTTTCTGACGTCCTACACTTAGGAAGGCAATTATTCTTGTCATTATTAGTAATAAAAATGTTTTAGTTGATATTAAAAAAAACTGTATGTTTTCTTAAGTTAAGTGAAGTGGGTGAATTTATTAACAAGTTACTGTCAACGTGTGATTGTAATAGTATATTATGTAACAAGTGCGGTAAACGGCATTTGACTCACGAGTTTGACACGAGCGGAGCGCAGCGAAGCGAGTGTTTAATGAAGGAGTGACTTAAAAATTTTACCGAACTTGTTGCATACTATACTTTTTCTTCGACCGTTAGTTTTTGGGTACATTTTCGCAAAATAACAAGAATACATTCACTGACATAACCGTCAGAAATGACAAACGTCAAAATTCAAAGTGCGGAAAATATCTCAGAAAACATCCGATTGCTCCCAAACCCATGCGGTAAAATTCCTGAAATGTCCGAAGTGGCTTGGATTCGTGGGAAACGAAACTGATCTGGTAAAGTGACGCTTCCCGTACGCTAGATCGGTGTGTAATTAAGTATTTTACAGATGGGAGTAGAAAAATAACTTTTACGTCTTACTTATGGTGTAAAATCTGTTCGTCCAGTAGAGTAAATGGGGGTCGCCATATTTTCCATCAACCAAATCTTCGGGCCGGTAAAACATCCGTATTGTGATGTTAACTACCCTTCCGTCCTTTATGTCTTCGATGATTCCGATTGTGTAAGGCTCGCTGAATTCCGTGCTGCATTTTTTGCCCGGTTTTCTGTACCTTTCCGGAAAAATGGCCTCTCGATCTAATTTACAGGTGTTTAGCCATTCCCCATTTATGGATTCGAATCGATACTCATTTTCTTTCTAAAAAAATATAGAATTTGAGTTGCTTGACTCGACTCCGACATTATACAGCATGTCCCGTATAAAACCATGTACGGAAAATCTATTTCTGAACTAGAGAGAGCAAAATCGACTTCCATGTCAAGGGCTCGATTTTTTTGAGATATATTTAATGGTTAAACAACATGGGAAACTTGTCAATAACTTTTTTATTTATGAAAATTTTGGATTCGGATAAAAAAATTTTTAAGGCAACGTTTTCTCATAAATGAGTACAATTTTCTTATTTTGTATGGCAATCATAACGTCGAGCCCTTTTCAGCACTATAGATTTGTTGGTATCTGGGATAGAAAAAGACAGAAATATAAAGCATTTTGTGTTTTGTGTGTTCATTGAATTTTGTGTTCTGTCACGCGTAATTTTAGTAGCCGAAATTAAGCTTTTACTGTTAAAAGATTCCAGTTATGATCACTCTGTACACTACACGTTTTCCCCTCTTTTTTAATTGAAAATTATGACATTAATGACATTTTATTATTGAATCTTAAAAGAGAAATTGCGTCTTTTTTAAATTATATGAAAATAAAATTTTCTTTGCTTTTAGGTTAGTAATGAGATATCGAAATATAATTTCTCATTATCCCATTTAAGTAATATTTCAGCGATAATAAAAAATATAACTAATGAATTCATTGTTTGTCGTTTAAATTCTATAATAAACAATGACTAGTTTTTCTTTTAAATGAAATAAAAATTAGCAAAATTGTTAGGTTTTAAATTAAATGGAGTGTTTTTTTATAAATAAACTGTCATACATATTAGGCTTAATACTAAAAACTACTATATATTTTTTAGATGTTCTTGACAAAAAAAATTATTTGGTTTATTTCTCGAAAATAACTGAAGAGAGAAAAAAAAACTGACCATACGGGATAAAAGCGTTACCAAACCCTTTTTTAATAAGCTACAAAATAACCAAGATACGAGGGGTGTCCCACAATTGAAAGCTTCCAAAAATATTAGTGCTTAATCTAAAATCGTTCCAAAATCTAGAAAATTACGATTAGTTCTGCAGATATCCGCAGAACACTAATAATAATAATTGTGATTTTTGAAAGAAAACTCTAGGTACAAACCATAACAACCCCTACATTGGGTGATTAAGTTTAATAGGGAGTATATTTATTAATGCCATTTCCTACAGGTTGTTCTAATTAAAAAATGCAACTTTGGTTTTCCACATATTGTGTCTTTTACTCCATATGTTTGTATCGATCATTTTTGCATTTAACATTTTTTATAGAATAAATAATAAAAGAGATATCTTATTTTGACGCACTATTTGGACACCGTGTATATTGTCTGTACATTGTCTCGGCGACTGATTCCTATATTCGTGAAAGGTAGACACCTGAGTCGCGGTTAAAATTGTTTGATGGTTTTTAGATTTCTATGGATTTTCAGATTTTTCTTTGGTAGACGATTTGATAGATTTGGAAGAAAGATTGTTGTGAAAAACCGAGTAAGTGCGTCGAAAATGTGAACCAAATAGAACAAAGGATGTGGGACGCTGTTAGCTTACTAATTCATCTGACTACTAGGATCAGAATGACTAAAATTAACAAATGAATGTGTATTGGAAATAGTAGACTTTTGCAATTTATCTGAACTTTACGATACAAACTTTAAGTTGTCCCCCCTGTTCAATAATCCTTGCAATTTCACAAACAGCGTACGGTTTTGTTTGTTACAGCTATTATAGCTACTCGGATGACTGACTTCCATATTGGTGAAAAGTAAGCACCTGAGTCGCGGTTAAGATTGTTTGGTGGCTTATAGATTTCTATAGATTCTCGGATTTTTCGTTGGTAGAAAAATTGATTACATTCAAGAATTTTAGTTTTATCGAATAAAATTTCATGAATGTGTTCGGCAACTGCTGATGAGTTTATTTGTCTTAGTTTTTTTATTTGTTTTAGTTTTTTAGAAAAAAGTCCTCCGACACCGTCCATCCAAAACCAAAATTATGGAAATGCTTCATTGAATTGGAAACTCCCATTCTTTGATATTTTTATTAATAAAAATTAACATTTTGTCATTTAATATATAGAGATCCTACGCATACAGGTCTAATCCAAACCACTATTCGACCCAAAAATCATTGGTTATGAATAATTTTTAAACAACCAAATAATCTTAACCTTAATTGTTTGAAATAGTTAAATAAGAACAAACGTTGTTCAGATTTTCACATAAACATATTTAAATGACAGCTGTTTCGGCAACACCGTGCCTTTATCAAATGTGAATATCAAACAGTACCGATGTTTATAAATACGAAACAGGTATTAATTACTTCATGTGAGGTATTAAATTAAGATTTAACAAGGGGGGTCCATTCAAATCCAGTTGATCATTAAGTAATACATTCGAACCTCTCATTTTATTAATCTCCAATGCTTCTAGTAAATTTAATTTTATACTTTTTGATACAGTGTGTAAAATATCGAAATTGTCGTCAAAATTGTGTTTTTCTAAATTTAAATGTATAGCGTAATTAGAATCTGAACTATTGTTTTTAAATGTTCGTCGATGTTCGTTGATGCGTTTTTTGAGAGATCTACCTATTTGTCCAATACAAATCTTAGAACATGATCCGCAATTTAATCTATAGACTCCAGAATTCTGGGATCTATTAGATTTAGATTTATTGTTTTTAGCAAATTTTCCTAGGGTGTTATTAGTTTTAAAAGCAATTTTGAGGCCACATTTCGAGAGATGATCTCAAACTTTATTACTAGTTTCTCCTATGTACGTTAATGTTTTAAAACCTTGAGATTCAGTAATAGGGGATATATAGAATTCAAAGTTTTTTGAAATTGTTTCTTAGTTAAGATTTTATCTACCAGTGACGATTCATATCCATTGTTGAATGCTACTTGTTTTATAATATTTAATTTTTTTTCAAAGTTTATTTGCAGAAAGAGGGATAGTTATCAGCCTATGAATAAAATAATAAAAGGCAGCCATTTTGTGTGAACTCTCATGTATTATAGTGTCTGTGTGTCAAGTGTTATGGTATATTGAAAAATCTCATTTGTTTTGTGCTTTAGTTATCGCAAGTAGAGGACTAAGTGGGCTTCCCATAATTAGTCCTTCTTTAGAAATATAAAACTGACCATTAAATTAAAAGTAATTTCGGTCTAAACATATTATTATACTATCCAATAAATCTTGTTTAACGATTGCGCTAATTTGTTTTTGGATGAGCATGCTGTCTATTATGTTTATTAGATCAATAGGTGGAATACTAGGAAATAGATTTTGAACAAAGAATGAAACTAATAATGCATTAGGAGGGATATTAATATCTTTGACCTTGTTGACTAATTCAAAAGAGTTTTTTATTGTAAATTTAGGTTTGAAGTCTGTGTAATTTTCTAAAATATTTATTAATCTTGTGGACAGTTTGACAGATGGTGCTGTTACAAAAGACACAACTGACCTGATTGGCATATTCTGTTTATGTAATTTAATTAAAGAGTATAATTTTGGGGGTTGCGGATTCATTATTTTTAGTTAATATTTATCCGTCTTATTAAAAAGTGAGGAATCTTTAAGCAATTCTTTGATTTTTCTCTGGTATGTTTCGGTAGGGTCGTGTTGAATATGCTGGTATAGTTCTGGTTTAAGAAATTGATGGGTTTTAGAAATGTATTCTGAAGAATTAATAGCTATGACTATCTTTCCTTTAGCAGCTCGAGTAAATACTATATCGTTCTGGGAACTTTTAATTTTGATTGTTTTAATTAAGGGCATTTGGGAAAGATCTTGATGTTTTTTGCTAGTTGAAACTTGTGATTTAATTAAATTAGCTAAAATGTGTTTGTTTGGGTTAGGATTGTAATTGGCGATAGCCAATTCACACTCGACGCCTAAATTATCTAATTCCCTATTTGTGTTATATAAACATCGGTACTGTTTGATATTCGCATTTGATAAAGGCACGGTGTTGCCGAAGCAGCTGTCATTTAAATATATTTATGTGAAAATCTGAACAACGTTTGTTCTTATTTAACTATTTTAAATGAATTTCCATCAAGTAAAAGCCACTTCAGTACAACTTAATTGTTTGCTTGTTTATAGTTTTATCGAATAAAATTTTATGTCCGTTGCATCATTTTGTTGAGCAACTTCTAATGACCTTATTTGTTGTAGTCTGAAGGCTCTTTCATCTTTTTTGAGCCTGTTGATATTTTTAGTTCAGTCTCGGCAATGTATTCTTTGCCACATTTGCAAAGAATGATCGGGCATCTTAAACGGAATTTTGTCTTTGATGGATTGAAGATTTTTAGATAAGCGTTAAATCTGGTCTCAACGTTTTATTTCATAACAACTTTTGGTGTGTGGCCAGTGATGTTCTAATGCAACGAAGTACAACCGTGCCAAATTTGGGGTTGTTTTCAAACTCGTTGTCTTTGGACGATTGTAGTGAATTGTATTTTGTGATGGAACGATTAGTAATTCTAATGTGGATATGAATAGAGGAGAAGAGCAGCTCTAAGGTATTTTAATTCTGGGTTCAGTGACTCAGGTTGAGATAGTTTTAAAGCTCTCCCAAATATCGAAAGTTCTTAAGAAATATACCGTCAAAACCAAAAATCTCTCAACAACTTCGATAAGCCGAAGACAAAAGAGATACCAAAGATACAAGGAGTTTACAGCATTCCGTGCATATGCCGCAAAGACTATCCCAGAAAGACCGGACAAAAAATATCAACCAGGCTCAAAGGACATGAAAGAGCCTTAAGAAAAATAAACTCATCAGCAGTTGCCGAACACAATCATGAAACCGAACATCAATCTTTTTTGGTAAAACTAAAATTCTTGCATACAATCAATTTTTCTACCAACGAAAAACTTGAGAATCTATAGAAATCTATAAGCAACCAAACAATCTTAACCGGAAGTCAGGTACTTATATGGAAATCAGTCATCTGAGATAATGTTCATGCCCTTC